CGGGGCCAGGGCTCTGCCCCCCCGCGCGTCCCCGCTCTGGGTCAGACAGTACGAATACGCCATCATCACAGCGACTCAACATACCAAATTCGTCATCCCGCCCAGAGAAGGGCTCGGATCTGGCGGATCCTGCCCTAAAAATGCCACGGGCGATCCCCAATCACACACCCACCCCACCCCCCGCCCCGGCCCTTACCTGCACGCTGCCTCCTGCACCCGCTTGTTGCTGTCGAGGATGCGTTTGAGCACATACCAAATTCGTCATCCCGCCCAGAGAAGGGCTCGGATCTGGCGGATCCTGCCCTAAAAATGCCACGGGCGATCCCCAATCACACACCCACCCCACCCCCCGCCCCGGCCCTTACCTGCACGCTGCCTCCTGCACCCGCTTGTTGCTGTCGAGGATGCGTTTGAGCAGCTCGGTCATGAGGGGCTTGAGGTACATGTCGGGGGGCTGGCTGACCACCCAGTGGGCGTAGCGGCTCAGGGTCCAGCAGGCGATGGAGCGCACCAGCGCCTTCTTGTCCGACAGGCATTGGATGAGGTGGGGGATCAGCTCCGGCAGGTAGGGCACCATGCCCTGCATGCAGCCTGGGGGGCACAGGGAGGCTCAGAGACCCCCAGCCCTGGCACGGCGGTGGCTCGAGGACGGCCCGTTGCAGGCAGCGTGGCACCCACCTTCCGCGATGGCCCCCAGGACGAGGATGCCCGACTCCTTGATGACCCACTCAGGGTGGAAGAGGAGCTCCTTGAGCAGCGGGAGGAGGTGGGGGAGCAGCTCTTCCCGGAAGACGTTGGCCAGGACGTCCAGCGCGGCAGCCGAGCACTTCCCTGCCAGGCAGGCAGGGTTAACCCCTCCCGACCAGGCACCATCTCACCTCGGGGTTTAATGAACCCCCAGACCCGCCAGGGTTCACTGCAGGAGCCCAAAACCCGGGGCCAGGACCCCCCCCCCCAACAAGCCCGTACTCAGGTTCCAGTCCGAGAGCGTGTCGTCGTCGTCCTCGTCCTCCGCATCATCGGGGTCCTGCGGCCGCTCCTCCTCGTGCTGCAGCGTCACCGTGCGGGACTTGTGGAAGCGGGGCTTGATGTCCTGCTCGCTGTCGGGAATGGCCTCGTCCTCCTCCACGTCCCCCTGCGGGGACAGGGGACATCACGTCACGCCACGGGGATCCCCCAACCGCCCGTCCCGGGGACCCCTGGCCCCCACGGATCAGACAGTACGAACACAACGGCCATCACCAGCGTCAGCGCTGAATCTGTCATCACGTCCGGGAGGTCCCAGGGCAGCTCCTGCCTTGCCCCAGTCCCTCCAGTTTAACCAGTAGCAGCCCCACAGAGCCGGAGGAGGGACGGGGAGCCGGGCGCTCTCGCGGTCTCGCCCCGACCTCATACCTTGAGCAGGATGATGTCAATCTCCGAGTACTTCATGCCGTTCACCAGGATGGGGATGAGCCTGTGGGGGGCAAAAGGGGGGAAACTGAGGGGCTGGTGGA